GAAGGAAATCCAAAGAAGAGGGGATGTACATACAGCTAGTCTTCCCCAGGAGACTCCGGGAGTTGGTGATGGACAGGGAGGCCTGGCGTGCTGCAGTCCATGGGGTCACAAAGAGTCAGATACGACCGAGCAACTGAACTGAACAGAATGGCGATGCTGGTGTGTGATTTTGAGAGTGTACAGGCCACTCTGCCACAAAACGTGACGTTGTAGGAACATTTCCATTCCAGCCATCCCAACTATTTTGATAGCTCAGACACTGTTTAAAAGTTTAGCTCAGTAGAATCACTTTCCATTTTTCATGGCAGAAATGAGCCTTTTTTTGACAAGCCATATTTCTGCAGCAGTGTTCAACGGTGGTTTCCATCACCGTGTGATTTATTACCTGCTTCCAGGAAAGAGCATGTTAGATGCAGGATATAAAAAAAAAATTAAAAATGAGACCTCTCTCTGCATTGCATGGAAAAAGAAGGTTGCAAAACAGACCTTGCTTCTCTCCTTTAAAAAAAAACCAACTTAAATCTATTGCTTGGAAGTAAGAAAGGAAGTTTCTGAGACTTGGAGACTTCTTTTTATCCTTAAGTCCCCCTTTGTAGGATCAAGGCCCAGTTTAGTCATGAGATACTGATCCTAAGAAAATGGTTGTACCTCCTTGTGTTCTTAAGTGCTGAGTTTTGTGGGCATAGGTTGACACACAGCTTCCAGAAACAGAGGTAGAATAATGCCATTTGCAGCAACATGGGTGGACCTGGGGATTCTCATACTTAGTGAGGTAAGTCAGACAGAAAAGGAGAAATATCCTATGGCATGCCTTGTATGTGGAATGTGTTATAGAAAGAAATGACACAAATGAATTTCCTTACAAAACAGAAACAGATCCACAGCCTTAGCTTATGGTTTCCTGGGGGAAGGGATAGTCAGGGAGTCTGCGATGGACATGGACGCACGGCTGGATTTAACATGGAGAATCAGCAAGGACCTGCTGGACAGCACAGGGAAGTCTGCTCAATACTCTGTAATAACCTGATGGTCACCAGGGGGAAGGATGGGGAAAGGGATAGCCAGAGACTTTGGGATGGACGTGGACACCCTGCTGAGTTTTACATGGAGAACCAGCAAGGACCTGCTGGCCAGCAGAGGGAACTCTGATCAATACCCTGTAATAACCTGATGGTCCCCAGGGGGAAGGATGGGGGAAGGGATGGTCAGGGAGTCTGTGATGGACGTGGACACACGGCTGTGTGGCTGAGGTCCTGCAGTGTTCACCTGCAAACTATCACAGCATTGTTCACTGACTGTACTGCAGTATAAAAAGAAAAGATTTTTTGTAAAAGAATAAAAGAGCGAGGTAGAGATTGATTGGGAGAAAAGGAGATCCGTTGCCAGTCTTGAACCTTCATGGAAAGGCCTTATCTCCATGTGGACATAAAGGTGATGGAGAGAGGTGGGGTCAATTTCAACCTCAGAATTTTTAGCCCAGAGTTTTTCATGCTCCAGTCCTCTGCGCTCCTCCTTTCTCCTCATCCCTTGCTTCCGTTCCACCTCTTTAGGATCTCATAGTCTTAAGGACCGGCTTCCCCTGTAGTTCAGCTGGTAAAGAATCCGCCTGCAAGGCGGGAGGCCCAGGTTCGATCCCTGGGTTGTGAAGATCCCCTGGAGAAGGGAACGGCTCCCCACTCCAGTGTTCTGGCCTGGAGAATCCCATGGATACAGTCTGTGGGGTCGCAGAGAGTCAGGCACTACTCAAAGGCTTTCACTTGCAGTCTTAAGGACTGAGTCTTTGTGGAAATGTCACAATACCTGCCATTTCAGCATAGAAACGGTATTCAAAGCACACGCAGCTTCCGGATAGAATTGTCTGTCTACCCTGTTCCTCTCATGGCAAGTAGCAAGCAGGCTTTGAAAGCGAGCCAATTCTGTCTTTTGTTCTTATTTTTAACTTAACGATAATGGAGTATTTTCAGTTCTGCGGACTTTGGCACAGCGCGTGATGGATCATTCAGGGTGGGTGCCGGACGGGAACTCAGCAGCAAGGCGATAATTACCTTATGAGGGTTTTAGTGACACCAAAAGGCACCACCAAAAAAGAAAGAAAGAAAGAAAAAGCCTGAGGGACATCAGGCCTCTCAAGAGTGCTCACCCAAATTATATGAGCAAGTAAGGACCACCCTATATGCAAGGCAGCGAGAGAGACACAGATGTACAGAACACACTTGTGGACTCTATGGGAGAAGCCGAGGGTGGGATGATTCGAGAGCTTAGCTTTGAAATATGTATATTATCATAGGTGAAACAGATCCCCAGTCCAGGTTTGATGCATGATACAGGGTACTCAGGGCTGGTGCTCTGGGATGACCCAGAGGGGTGGGATGGGGAGGGAGGTGGGAGGGGGGTTCAGGATGGGGACCACATGTCCACCCATGGCTGATTCATGTCAATGTATGGCAAAAAACACCACAATATCATAAAGTAATTAGCCTGCGATTAAAATAAGTATTTTTTTAAAGTTCCAATTTCTCATAGTAGGAGAGGAGAGACATAGAGTGTTGGTTTTTTTTTTTTAAACTTTTGTTGGAGTGTAGTTCATTTACAGTGTTGTGTTAGTTTCTGCTGCATAGCAAAGTGACTCGTTTATGCATGTGTGGTATGTGGTCTGTCACTTCAGTCGTGTCCGACTCTCTGCAACCCCCATGGACTGTCGCCCCGCCAGGCTCCTCTGTCCATGGGATTCTCCAGGCAGGAATACTGGAGTGGGTTGCCATGTCCTCCTCCGGGGGATCTTCAGACTCAGGGATGGAACCCGAGTCTCCCACGTCTCCTGCATTTCAGGCAGATTCTTTACCAGGGAGCCAGCGGTATCATCTGTTCTTTTTCGTATTCCTTTCCCATACAGATTATTACAGGGTATTGAGTTGAGTGCCCTGTCCTATACCATAGGTCCTTACTAGTACCCGTTTTATATATGGCTTCCCTGATAGCTCAGTTGGTTAAGAATCCGCCTGCAATGCAGGAGACTGTGGTTTGATTCCTGGGTTGGGAAGATCTGCCAGAGAAGGGATAGGCTACCCACTCCTGTATTCTTGGGCTCCCTTGGGGCTCAGCTGGTAAAGGATCCACCTGCAATGCGGGAGACCTGGGTTCGACCCCTGGGTCAGGAAGAGCCCCTGGAGAAGGGAAAGGCTACCCGCTCCAGTATTCTGGCCTGGAGAATTCCATGGACTATACAGTTGCAAAGAGCCAGAGACAACTGAGCGACTTTCACGTTCTTTCCCTCTTGTGTGTGGTAGTGTGTATCTGTCAATACTAGTCTTACAATCTATCCCTCCCCCGCTTCCCCTCCTTGCTGGCTACAGGTTTGTTTTCTACATCTGTAACTCTGTTTCTACTTTGTAGATAAGTTCATTTGTGCCTTTCTTGTTTTTTAAGATTCCACATATAAGCATTATCATTATGATGTCTGTCTTGGGAGTGTTTTTAATCAGAGAAAGAACACCCTCAAGTGCGACAATCTCACTCTTTGCAGGTATCTTTCTGCCACAGGCTTCCGTGGCAGCGTATCAATGCCTAGTATCAAGGCATGGCATCAATGCCTTCCATTTCTCTAGTGGGTGTTAATGTATGTTTCACTCAAAACAAAACTTTAGACTTTTTTTCCTTTACTTAACCTCCAAAAGGGACTTCCCACGTGGCTCAGTGGTAAAGAATCTGCCTGCCAATGCAGGAGACATAGGTTTGAGACCTGGGTCGGGAAGATCCCCTGGAGTGGCAACCCACTCTGGTATTGATGCCTGGAAAATCCCATGGACAGAGGAGCCTGGCAGGCCACAGTCCATGGGGTTGCAGAGAGTCAGACATGACCTATCGACTAAACAGCAAACCTCCATATAGTCTTATTTTGCTCATCACCCACTCTATACCGTTATCACTTGCTATCTGGTAAGTTCCACCTTTTGGCACAGTCATTGAAGAGATATATTTACCTTCGAGACCATAAACATATGTGTCATGTGTATATATAGTATGTAAATGTGTGTGAGTATATTTCCATCCTCAGGATATTTAATATCATCATCATTATTATTTGCTGTTCACTTCATTGGGACTTAGAACTTTGTTTTCAATGAAGTCTATCGAGTTCTCAGTTGCCCCATGCTATATATATTATCTTTTTCTTACACACAGATTGTCAAAAATTCTTATTTTCACCAGATCTGGAGTTTGTGAATCAACGGCCAAGGCAATAAGCAGAAAACTGGGTGCAGAACTAGTAGAAAGTCATCCCACCCTCCTCTTCCTCTCCCATGTCCACAAGTTTGTTTTCTATGTCTGCACCTCTGTTTCTGCTTTGCACACAAGTTCATCAGTACCGTCCTTCTCGCTTCTGTATATGTGCCTTCGTATACAGCATTTGTTTTTCTCTTTCTGACTTACTTCACTCTGTATGACAGACGCTGGGTCCGTCCACATCTCTGTAAATGATGCACTTTTGTTCTTTTTCATGGCTGAGTAATATTCCATTGTATATATGTAGCACATCTTCTTTATCAGTTCTTCTGTCGATGGACATCTGGGTTGCTTGCACATCCTGGCTATTGTAAATAGTGTTGTGGTGAAGACTAGGGTGCCTGTGTCTTCTTGAATTACGGATTTTTTCGGAGTATATGCCCATGAGTGGGTCTGCCCCACGGACATGTGACACTCATGACATTGGGCAAATCACTCCATGTCTCCGTATCATGATCCCAGGATGATGCCGGTCCCCACTCACAGTGTCGCTTTGAGGGTGGAATTAGTTCACGCGTGAGCAGAGCTGACCTGCCTCCCTAACATGGCATACGATGCCCGGGGATGGTCAGTCGGTGTTCTCAGCGTTCCTTGCTGAACGACCACCCTGTAGCCCCATCACGCCTTCGTGTACTGAGGGACAGCTCGGTCGCCAGGGTGTCTGAGCCCTCCCGGCGGACGTGGCCACCTGACGCCCCACCTGCTTCATCCCCCAGGATCATCGACGGCCGGGACCTGATGCCCTTGCTGCGGGGGGAGACCCAGCGATCAGAGCATGAGTTTCTCTTCCACTACTGCAACTCCTATCTGAACGCTGTGCGCTGGAACCAGCCCAACAGTGAGTAGATGCGTCTCTCCTCCCGGGTATCTTTCCCCGCCTTGCTTCGAGGGCTGCGTGCCATCAGAGAGGGGCAGGGGAAGAGAAGAAAACCGCAAGAGGGCATTGCTCTCGCAAGATGCCCCTCCAGAGACGCTTGGTTTGATTTTCCCGTCCTCCTCTTCCTACTTTCTTCTCTCGAGCCTGCTGGTTACCCCGGTTGTCTCGGCAGACCAGGGCGGTCGCCCAGCTCTATGCCAGTGCTTGCTGGCTCCTTCCTCCTGCGGGGACAGAGGACGTGCCAGGTGATTGGCAGGGTTCTGAAGCTCCTTTCTTCCCGCTCCGCCAGCCACCCAGCTGCGTCTCCTGGTCCGATCTTCCGTCTGAGTTTCTGCCCAACAGTCCCTCTGCTCTGGCATGGCCTGTCCCTGATGGCGGTTCCCTCTGCTGAGAACGACTTTCTTTTCCTTCCTGGTTAATGCTTACCCACCTCCCGCGATGCCCCTGAAATGCCATCTCCCCTGCCTGCAGTCTGTAGCTTTGCTCCGGTGCTGTGTGGCTTTAACCTGTCTACCTGACCTTGTCCGCTGAGCCTCATAGGCAGCGGGCGGGTCACGACCCGCCGATCAGTCCATCTGCTCGGTCACAGATTCTCTGTGTGTGTCTGCTAGCCGTAGATGTTTAAGACAACGCTCACATGCGTTGACGTCATCGTGGTTTCCAGACCAGGTGTGTCTTACGTCTGTGTCAGTGACAAGATGTACTCGATACTTTGGGGTCTGCCGACAGCAGATATAAAAGTGCATTTCCTTTTATTGGAAATTCTTCTTTGTTCAGGTATGTGTCTTTGGTGGCGCTGGGTCTCTGGTGCTTTGCGGGGGCGTTCCCTAGTTTCGGCGAGCAGGGGCCACGCTCTGCTCACAGTTTGCAGGCTTCTGATTGCAGTGGGTTCTCTTGTTACAGAGAACCGGCTGTAGGGCGCTCAGGCTTCACTGGTTGCGGCCCGTGGGCTCAATAATTGTGGCTCCTTGGCTCTCGAGCACAGGTTCGATAGCTGAGGCACACAGGTTCACTTGTTCCGCAGCAAGTGGGATCTTCCCAGACCAGGGATCAAACCTGCGTCTCCTGCATGGCCAGGCAGATTTTTAACCACTGAACCACCAGGGAAGTCCCAACGGGTGCGTTTCTAACGAGCCTGAAGGACCAAGCAGAGCCAAGCAAGGATCATACGTGTAGCGATAGTCCCGCATCTGGTTTTCATACACGTAAATGTAAAATTACAGCACCAGGAGATCCAACCAGTCCATCCTGAAGGAAGTCGGTCCTGAAGATTCATTGGAAGGACTTGATGCTGAAGCTGAAGCTCCAATACCTTGGACACGTGATGCAAAGAACTGACTCTTTAGAAAAGGCCCTGATGCTGGGAAAGATTGAAGGCGGGAGGAGAAGGGGACGGCAGAGGATGAGACGTTTGGATGGCATCACCGACTTGATGGACATGAGTTTGAGCAAGCTCGGGGAGTTGGTGGTGGATACAGAGGCCTGGTGTGCTGCAGTCTGTGGGGTCACAGAGAGTCGGATGCAACAGTGACTGAAGCAAAACCATCACTGAGATGCCTAGGCGTCTGTGGGAACCCAGCACCTATTATACCCCTATTGTATATCTTAGAGGTCAATGCTGATGTTAGACTCTCAGATGCCTCTTCAGAGAGGGAATGAAACTCCCCTTTTCTCTAGCATGTTTTGGGTTCTGCTCCCAGATGTGAGATTCTCCCAGAGCATCTTGTCACCACACTGCCAGCTGATGGCTCATTCTTAAATTCAGGGGATTCTCAAAGCGGATTTCAGTGCAGTCCTGATCCCATCCTCGTCACCCAGCCGACTTACCCAAGACAGCATTTACAGAGCAGCTGTTCCACTATTTTTTCAAGTGGGAGATTGTGACCCTTCCTTTNCCTCCCCATCTTCCTTTTTTTTTTTTTTTTTACTTTTTGTTTCATGTTGAAGTATACTTGATGAACAGTGTTACCTTAGCTTCTGGTATTCAGCCAAATGATTCAGTGACGCATATACATGTATCTGTTCTTTTCCACATGCTTTCGCCACGTAGCTTGCTGCATAATACTGAGCAGAATTGTCCATGCTACTCAGTAGGTCCTTGTTAGTTATGCGTCTTAAACGTAGCAGTGTGTCCACCTTCCCGCTTCCTTTTATACTGAGCCTGAAAGAACCGTAGAGAACCAAGTTTCCGTGGCTCTTGGCTGTTTAAAGACGGATGTCATCACGTTCCGAACCTTGACGAACTGCATTTAAGTAAAGCCAGCCGCCTCCACTTACAGGGGCCGGAAGGAACACATCGGCTCAGGGGCTGGGGAAACACAGTTATGTGGAGGAATAAACAGGAAGGGGCAGAAAATAGGGGTCAGTGAGAAAAAACAGGCCCAGATGCTGAGAGGCGGCAGGCCCGAGGATCAGATTTGCTGCTGAGACAGACACAAGGGACATTTCCTCTTGTGCAGCTCATCACTGTCTTTCTGCCTCAAGGCAGCGACAGAGGAGGGAGAATGACAAGTCTTTCGATGCCGGAATCATCCATCTAGTCAACGGGTCTGAGGAAACCATGGGTTTCTTTTTTTTTAATCCGTCTCTCATCTCCTTTGGGGATCGTGGCCGCTGTGGCTGTCCCTCGTGTCTCCCTGGAGCTGTTTGCTCGGTATCCGTGTCTGCTTATTTGTTCTACACGTATTTATTGAGCATCTACCACGTGGCCCCTGCTAGGCTGGACTGGACACCTGTAGGTGGGAAAAATATACTGAATTCTCTGCCCAGGAGTTGCTTGCCTCTTAGGTGACGGCGGGTGCTGCTGGCTGGGCAAACAGCCGGGAATGCAGACTTGTTTCAGGAAGTATCCCTTGCCCGTGAGGATTACTAGTACTGCGTGAGTCCTTGTTGGAAGAGAAGGCTTAGATCATCTCGTAACCAAAAGTGGGGTCTGGCTGCTGGACGCCCAAAAGCCCCTGAAGAGGGCAGGGTGGGGGGAGGAAGAGTTTGCTTTATTTGGCATGCTCTTAGCCAGAGGGGGAGTGGACATATGTCCAAAGGCTGACTCCTTGCTCCCCCCTCCCCTCTGACAGTCAGAATGTAAAAGCTTTTACAGACAGAAGGAGGGGCGGTTCCTTGCAGAAACAGCACAGTCAGCCCTGCCAGTCATCTTGAAACTGATCGTCGCTGGTCTGATCGGTACCATCTTAATTCTTTTCGGAACAGCTCATCTTTCAGTCCCACTAGTGCCAGTGGTGCTAGCGGTAAAGAACCCACGTGCCAATGCAGGATGCATAAGAGACGTGGGTTTGATCCCTGGGTAGGGAAGATCCCCTGGAGGAGGGCATGGCAACCCACTCCAGGATTCTTGCCTGGAGAATGCCACAGACAGAGAAGTCTGGAGGGCTACAGTCCAGGGGGTCGCCAAGGGTCAGACAGGGCTGAGATGACTTAGCAGAACAGAGCACAGTCAGGGTTGATTGGTTTCCATGTCTTAGAGGCCAGTTCTGGGAATTAGGGCAGGTTAGGGCATGGCTATAGCCTGGTCATCATGGAGTTAATGTCTTCCCCCTGGTGGGGGTTTCAGTATCTATAAAACAGCTCATGAAACCTGGCTCAGAATATTATCTATATAGCCTTTGGCACTCAGTCACTTCATTCGTGTCCGACTCTTTGCCACCCCATGGACTGTAGCCTGCCAGGCTCCTCTGTCCATGAGATTCTCCCGGCAGGAATACTGGAGTGGGTTGCCATTCCCTTCTCCATAAAGCCTGTGAGCTTTCCTTCAATTTGCTTGAATTTACTGCATGACTACCCTGTCATTATTTGGTCTCCTGTGACTGTCTTCCTTGGTCTCTGCCTGTTCTCACGTCTACTGACTAAAGTTATTCTTTGGCACAAAGGCTTTCCACAGACAAAAGGCAGGCTGAGGAACTTAAGGTCCCGCTGTGTTTTCACTTTCTGATCTGTATCAGCAGGAGACTGTGGGTTAGCATAGAGCTTAAACCAGTCCTAGTTGGAGGACATCACTTGGATCATCTCAGGTCCATGTTGGTAGGAGTGTGTGGGCAATTCCCAGACGTTGAACTGGTACTGTTTAGAAGAGATGGGCTTGCATCTTCTGAGATCTATGCTCATAGGAGACTGTGGTCATCACCACCTGGGGGACGCTTTCCGTAATTCTTAGAGGCAAGAGTATTGCCACCTTGAGCTCCAAAGTATCTTGAGCTCCAGATACTTGGTTAGAAAAGGTGAGAGACATTTAGGATCAGGGTTTCTAAATGTAGGGCCAGGGCCGCAGTGAGCCGGAGGAGCCCCGGACGGCTGAGGAATCTCACCAGCTTGTGGGGAACACGTTCCTACCTGGAAGTCAGCCTTGGGTGTGTCTACACCATGGCAGCTGGCCAACACAGCAGATGTCGACCGTGTTCCTCGCTCAGAGAAGCCGCAGCCTTCCAGCAGGACACTGGAACCCGTCTACTAGAATGGAGCGGCAGCGTTGGGGAGACCCAACTCGTGTTTGTCTTGATGAGGTTGGATGCCTTACATTTCCCTGGTGGCTCAGACAGTGAAGAATCCACCTATAATGCAAGAGACCCAGGTTCGATCCCTGGGTCGGGAAGGTCCCCCTGGAGAAGGGAATGGCAACCCACTCCAGTATTCTTGCCTGGAGAATCCCATGGACAGAGGAGCCTGGTGGGCTACAGTCCATGGGGTTGCAAAGAATCGGACAGAACTGAGCAACTGACACTTTCATTGCCTATTACAATTCCAGACTTGTTAAATACTTCTTTTTCCCAAAGCATTACAGCCAGAATGCTGTTTCTACTCTTAAAATATGAATCCCTTTCGGCTTTTATATACAATGTCCTCTCTATAATAATTGAACAATTCTATAATTCTCATGATTCTGTAACTTGGTTGTCTTNGGCTTCCCACAGCTATGAGATTGCATAGCGCGTTGGAACCCAGCCTGTCAGAGCCAACAGAAAGGGCGGGAGAGCTCATGCGGATTGTATGCAATGAGCCAGCAAGACAATACACCTGTTCCAAGCTCAGAATAAAGGATGTGTCCCCAGGACTTGGTCTAGACCCACGAGAATCCTTGCATGAAAGGGGATGTGATTTGCAAAGCAGACTGGCATCTGGTAGGAGGGATCAAGCATCGTTAATCTGCAGAATGTTCTTCTGATGCCTCCGTGGACAGCCCAGTGGGCTTTGCATCGTCCCTCTGTTTGTTCTTGGGGACCCCGAGTGCTCATTCTCGAGGCTTGTCTGCCAGGGGGCCTCGCAACTCTTTCTTGTGGCCGAGTCCCTGAAAGTGATTGTGATCACGACAGCGGTGCCTGTTCTGGGCTTTACACGCCCCTCAGAGCCCCAGGGAATCTCAGGGCACCATGGCTTATTTGAAGCTTGGAAAATGCTGAATTCGGGATCCAGCTCTGGAGTCAGGCTGTTCTCAATTAAATTCTATTTGCCACTTTTTCAAAGGACCAGAAGCTTTCTTTTCTTGTGAATGAAAAGAAAGTGAGTCACTTTTTTTTTTTTTTTAACCTGTGAAAGTGTTAGGTGCTCAGTCGTGTCCAACTCTGTGTGACCCCGTGGACTGTAGCCCGCCAGGCTCCTTTGTCCATGGGATTCTCCCGGCAAGAATATGGGAGTGGGTTGCCATTTCCTCCTCCAGGGGATCTTCCCAACCCAGAGGTTGAACCCAGGTCTCCCTCACAGCAGGCAGATTCTTTACCGTCTGCAACTGTAATAAGTCACTAACATCTTTGTGGCTTAACTATAACTCTCTTAAATTTTGGGCTTCCTTTCTGGCTCAGCTGGTTAAGAATCTGCCTGCAATGAGGGAGACCTGGCTTCGATCCCTGGGTTGGGAAGATCCCCTGGAGAAAAGAAAGGTTACCTACTCCAGTATTCTGGCCTAGAGAATTTTATGGCCTGTGTATAGTCCATTGGGTCGCAAAGAGTCAGACACGACTTAGCGACTTTCAGTTTCTCTTAAATTTTAACGCATCATTTAAACCGAATTCAAATTATTGTTTGCATCACTACGTAGAATACTTTTGTTTTTGAAAAAATGCTGCCTGTAGTTTCCCTGCGTTCTCACTGTAAAGTTTAATTCCTTTCTCTAGTCATTGGATCTCAATTGTAGCTGAGTTTAAGACTCCGTGGTGGTCAAAATACTTATCTGTGACAGAGACAGAAAACAACCTTTTTTCAGAGTACACTGGAATTTTAACAATAAACAAAAGAATTTTTTTTTAGCTCAACAATTTTTTAGTAGTATATGGAGAAATCCCAGATGAAATACATCATCAAAATAAATTTGAAAAACAGGATTAAATAGACATATTAGAAATGCAAGGTGACAGTAGGTGCCTCCTTTCTGTTGAAATGACACCTTTGACCATCAATTCTTTGTTTCCTGGTGAACAACACAACAGACCCTGAACTAAGGCTTCATATCCTATAAACCTAGGGTTTCCCAGGTGGCACAGTGGTAAAGAATCTGCCTGCCAGTGAAGGAGATGGCAAGAGATGCAGGTTCAGTCCCTGGGTCAGGAAGATCCCCTGGAGGAGGGCATTTCAACCCACTCTAGTATATTCTTGCCTAGAAAACTCTGAGGACAGTGGAGCCAGGCACGTGTAATAAAATGCATTTGAACAGATCCACAGTGGTCTCAAGAAATTATACGGAGAATGCACAATGTATCTTTTTATAAGAAGGTTTTAAAAATCCAGATTGGGTGATATAAAGGCAGACGCCTCGATGGCATACCAAAAAAATCTTCAGAAAAGTTAGTTCTTAGTTCTACGCTTGTCCCAGCTACCTGTCTGCTCCCTGTGAGAATGCCTGAGGTTTATTTACTGACTGGTCCTTAAACCTCTGTGTGTGTGTGTGTGTGTGTGCCCAGTCATGTCAGATCCTGTGTGACCCCATGGACTGTAGCCCACCAGGATTATCTGTCCATGAGATTCTCCAGCTGAGAATACTGGAGTGGGTTGCCATGCCCTCCTTCAGGGAATATTTATCCTTACTCACCCTCGGATATGCCTGTCTGGGGCCAGGGGGTGTTTGAGGAGAATGTGGACACCCGTGTTAATTGTCTTCCATTGTCCATTAATTTTTTTTGCATTTGAATCCGTGGGTGAGCACTCAATACATGCAATTACAAAACCACTGTTTCCATGACACAAACAGATGATCAGAGTGAGTTAAGTAGGTGTGTGGTGCTTTCTAGGGAGACAGTCTCTATGGTTTTCTATAAAAAAAGCTGGAAGAGTAAGGCGGAAAAGGACATTTTCAGCCTGAACCTAATTCCACTTGGGTTATACACATTAACTCTGCCACCTTTTTCTACCCAGGAGGGGTAGAAAGGAGTTTCTAGATTTCTATCAGAGCCAGCTCTCAGAAGCTCATAGCATCATAGGATAAACAGTAAATCAGTCATTTCATAATTATTTGTTTGTGAATCAATTTTTTTTCCTGAAATTTTAATATTGGCTAGTTAGTCATTGGAAGAGACCCTGATGCTGGGAAAGATTGAGGGCAGGAGAAGGGGACGACAGAGGATGAGGTGGTTGGATGGCATCACCGACTCAATGGACATGAGTTTGAGCAAGCTCCAGGAGTTGGTGACGGACGGGGAGGCCTGGCGGGCTGCAGTCCATGGGGTTGCGAAGAGTCGGACACGACCTAGGACTGAACAACAGCAACAAATGGAACACAGAACTTATGTTTTTTAAACTTTTTAATTTTATTTATTTCTGGCTGCCCTGGGTCTTTGTTGCTGTGCGGGGCTTTCTCTAGTGGGCTGTGCCGGTTTCTCATTGCGGGGGCCTCTCTCGTTGTGGGCTCTTGGGCCCACGTCTTCAGTGGTTGCAGCTTTTGGGCTCCCCCTAGAGGCGAGGTCCAAGAAAAATCAGTTTTTGCGTTATAATGGCTATTGCCTAATCAGCTTTGTCTTCTCCTCCTTGGCAGTTAGATAACAATGCATGTTTTCTTGCTTTTTCTTTGCTCCTTTTAGCTATGATGCTTACTCTTTTTTGAGCCTTAAGTGTGATAAATCCAGTCCATCCATAACTGAGTCTCTGCCTTCTTGAAGCGGAAGGGTGGTTTTCCGGTGCACGCTCTCTTTGGGGTGACTGTGATGACCCTGTCCCCACCATAGCCGCTTCTGTGCTTGTCCCTCCACAGGCACGTCCATCTGGAAAGCCTTTTTCTTCACCCCCAAGTTCTTCCCCGAGGGTTCCAACGGATGCTTTCACACCCGCGTGTGTTTATGTGACGGGCAGTATGTCGCCTACCACGACCCACCCCTGCTGTTTGAGATTTCCAGAGACCCCCGGGAGAGACACCCGTTAACCCCGGCGTCGGAGCCGCGGTTCCAGGAGATCCTGGCGACCATGCAGGAGGCGGCGGCCCGCCACGTCCAGACCCTGCAGGACGTCCCCAACCAGCTGTCCCTGGGGAACCTGATCTGGAAGCCGTGGCTGCAGCTGTGCTGTGCGTCATCAGGGCTGTCCTGCAAGTGTGACCGGGAGAAGCAGGACGGGAGACGATCTTAGCCGTTATCGTGGCGTCTGGGGGTGCATGGGGTGGGGAGGGGGCGCCCCGCCAGCAGCATCAGGGACGAGCGCCCAGGATCGACACTGGGGGAATGAAGCCCTGGCTGCCTCCCTCCTTCCCACACACCTGGACGCTCCATCAAGACCCCCCTCCACACACACACACACACACATACCTGTCCCCCCGGGGGGGGAATCAACGTTTGCAATAAACAGAGACAAGCATGTTAGTTACGTCTTCCGAGGCCAACTGTTCACGTGGATGGACAAATGGGCAGTGAGTGTCCAACATCTGTGCGGCTGGAGGGCAGGAAGGGGCACAGATGAGCTGCTGGCCTCTCAGACAGCGTCATCCATGGCTGGAGGCGTTGCTTACTCCACAGCTGACTTGATGCCCTGGTCACCAGGATTTCCGCTAGAGAGCCTCGCATGAGAGCGAACCAAATGTTAAGTGTTTACTGAACTCTAGCACCGGCCACTTTTTTACCCTGAGTAAAAGAGCGTCTTGCCCAATCACAGATGATGGTTAAGTTGCCGTCTTCTGGTGACTGAAAGGCGATTACCGTCAGTGTTATTTGCAAATACGTATGAAGTACTCTTCATGCGATCCATGTTTGTGCATGGATATGTGTCTTTCTTCGAGAAGTCTGCAGTATTTAGACGCTCATCACTGTTGAAGGAGAGGCAACCAGAGCCTCACAGATGTGGTTAGAGTGACTGCATTTTGGTGAGCTCTCTCAGGGAATGTCGAGGCTGAGACACACCTCTCTGGCCCGTATGTCTCCAGCCCGTCATTTGTAGCACGCCGTTTGGCTTCTGCTGTCCCTTGGGTGAATGGCGTTTCTGAACTAAGAGTCCTACTTCAGTGATTCTGCAGTCCAAGAAATCCCCTCTAACAGAATTCAGAATTATTGGTGTGTGAAATGTATGCTGTTTCACATGGGTGGGGGGTTTGGGGTGGCGGAGACACAAGCTATGAGACATAAGCAGTCCATGACCCATGCCCACAAAGACACAAGCTATCAGATATAAGCAATCCACGACCCATACCTGTGAAGACATGAGCAATCAGACATAAGCACTCCACGACCCATACCCACGAAGGCACTAGCAATCAGACATAAGCAGTCCATAACCCATACCCACGAAGACACGAGCCATCAGATTTAAGCAGTCCATGACCCATACCCATGAAGACACTAGCAATCAGACATAAGCAATCAATGACCCCTACCCATGGAGACACAAGCAATCAGACATGAGCAGTCCACGACCCATACCCACGAAGGCACTAGCAATCAGACNTGAAGACACGAGCCATCAGATATAAGCAATCCACGACCCATACCTGTGAAGACACAAGCAATCAGACATAAGCACTCCACGACCCATAGCCATGAAGACAGTAGCAATCAGACATGAGCAGTCCACGACCCCTACCCATGGAGACATAAGCAATCAGACATGAGCAGTCCACGACCCATACCCACAAAGGCACTAGCAATCAGACGTAAGCAGTCCATAACCCATACCCACGAAGACACGAGCCATCTGATATAGCAGTCCATGACCCATACCCACAAGACACAAGCGATCAGACATAAGCAGTCCACGGCCCATACCCATAACATCTCGAGCTCTTGCAGACCCACACCCATGACATCTCGATGCCGAATTTCATGACGAGAGAATGGTGGTCCATGCCCGTCCTTGGGTTTTGTTGGCCTGACCCTGCGGGTAAGCAATATCTGTGCCTTAAGTCGGTCGTGACATGCACGCTTCCGTTTGAATTCCATTTCCTGCGACCTCAGGAATGCAGGGAGGAGGCCTCACAGGGTCACGGAGGAGACTGGGAGACAGGGGGCACAGCTGGAGAGAGTTCCCCAGTCTGGAGCAGCAGGTCCTTCTGGGCAAAGAGTTCCCCTGAGTGGAGAATACCTAGGAGACCTTCAGATAGTATAGGTGCTGCAGCGACATGATGTGGATTCGTTCACTCATCTGTACATGGGAGCTGTGGTCCAATGGCCTCTTTCATCTCTGTAGCGAACATGTCTCAGCGTCTCTCTGCTCTTGGCTCAGGAGTTTTCTCGATCCCACGGGAGTGCGGGTCAGTGGAATATTCTCCACCCCCCACCCCCGGACGCGTGCACCCTGCTGTCCAGGCAGTTTGGAGAAAAATGTGTGTAAGCGCATCTCAGCCTCTCTGACACTCTTTGTCTGCCTTCGGGCCTTTGTCCCCGCTGAACAGCGTCTAAGCTCCGACAGCATCTCCCGAGCTCCTCCTTACGGTCTGCTATTTCAGAATTTTATTTTAATTAGTTAATTTATTTCAGTTGGAGGATAATGACTTCACCCTATTGTGGTGGTTTTCGCCATACGTCCCCAGGAATCAGCCACGGGTGGCCATGTGTCCCCCATCCCGAACCCCCTCCCATCTCCCTCCTCACCCCATCCCTCTGGGTTGTCCCAGACCTCCGGCTTTGAGTGCCCTGCTTCATGCATCGAACTTGCCCTGGTCATCTATTTCACATATGGTAATATACATGTTCCAGTGCTGCCCTCGCAAGCCATCCCACCCTCCCCTTCTCCCAGAGTCCAAAAGTCTGTGCTTTACATCTGTGTCTCATTTGCTGCCCTGCATTTAGGCTCGTTGATACCATCTTTCTAAGTCCCATATAAATGTGTTCATGTTCAGTCTTTGTCTTTCTCTTTCTGACTTACTTCACTTGGTACATATGCACAGCGGAATATTACCCACCTATAAAAAAGGAATGCATTTCAGTGAGTCCTAATGAGGTGGATGAACCAGGAGCCTGTTATTTCAGATTGCAAATCTTTCTTCGTCTTAAAAAAAGACAAATGCTTCCTTCCGCCTCCCTGGGAATGGTTCAGAGTTGGAAAGCAAGCAAGGTTCTTAATTCAGATTTCTCATTCCAGTAATTTGCCAAAAGCATGTCATGTTGTTTTAGGCAGTACTCTCATGAGAGAATGCATGAGCATGTTACTAGTGTCTTAGAATTATTGCTGTTATCATGCAGAACATATCTAAAGCCACTGTCACCAACTTACGTGTTAAGACGATCATATTTGCTTAGAGTTGGATACAGTCAATGCACATGGATACAAGACATCTTATGATGTCAGAACATTGTGTTTGAGGCTGAAATCACTGGAAGGACTTTTGCAGATGTTGTTAACACACAGCTTTGTATAGCATTGATCGTTTAATCTGTACACGGGTTAACAGCCAACAAAGGATACATTTACCTCTAGATTGACAATGAGCTTTTAAGTATTTGCCTGAAAATAACTTACATCTCCGTTATGTTTCAGTGTATTTGAAAAATCCGGTTTCTTTGTAATAATCATAATTACCACTTAGCACCTGAAAGTTTGGCTTGGAATGCACAACAGGAAATTTGGATTCCCACTGGTGTGATCTCTTGTATGTCCTGTTCTTTGTGGGGTTTTGAAGCTTTAAACAAATTCTTTCTGAAAAAAAAGATATATTTCTAGCATTTCACAGACGTTAAAAGCTTAAGCTAACAGTGACCTATTGACAGGCATGATTTGACAGCATCATAAACGCTGCAGGAAAAACACAATCACGACCTATGTATCAGAGCTGATGAAGGTTTCAGGAAGGGGAACACATGTCAGGTGGCCCTGAAGAACATTTCTTCTATTGAAGAAACAGGCAAAGTATTTGTCATGTGTCTGAACATTGCGATCTGTGATGTGATTGCATCTATGAAGGTTTCCCAGAACCTCATTGTCATGTTAACTTGAAATGAAAATAAACTTTTCCCTGGCAATTAAAAATTCTCTCCTGCCTGGTTTTCCATGGGGCTCAGTTCAGCAAGCGTGCGCAGTGTTTGGCTGGTCAAGAGTCTGCCTAAATGTGGGAGACCTGGGTTCCATCCCAGGGTCGGGAAGATCCCCTGGAGAAGGAAATAGCAACCCATTCCAGTGTTCTTGCCTGGAGAATCCCGAGAATCCCATCGACAGAGGAGCCTGGCGAGGTGTTTACTATGTTCGACGTTAAGTAATGGGGAATGGGGTTTCAGTTTGGTAAATCTTTATGGAATGTCAGAGGCTCCGGGGAGGGGTGGATGAGAAATAAGGAAGCCCCTGAGTTCCATGATTAGAGGGTAGTGGGACACCCTGGCCATCTCTTGGGTTCCAAGGCCACATCATGCTTGCGTATTGCTACAGCTGCTGGTCAATTTCCAACGAAAACCTTGTAGTACATTCAGTGGGATCACAGGAACTATGCCTGGCCTATTATAAGTCCTAAGAAAGTGTTAGCTATCTTTAGGCCCTTGCTTATATTTATCTGCAAGTGTTTTTTATTGCAAAAAAATATTTAATTGTATAAAAATACAGCATACACACAAGCAAAGAAAAAGAATCACTTTTAACCTGACCATCAAGCAGAAAATACCATTTAAGTATTTTTGAGTGTATCTTTAAGACTTTATACCCACAATCACTGGACTTCCCTGCTGGTTCAGACGTTAAAAGCGTCTGCCTACAATGTGGGAGACCTGGGTTCAATCCCTGGGTCCGGAAGATCCCCCTGGAGAAGGAAATGGCAACCCACTCCAGTACTCTTGCCTGGAAAATCCCCATGGACAGACGGAGAAGTCTTGTAGGCTACAGTCCATGGGGTCGCAGAGAGTCGGACACGACTGAGCAGCTTCACTTTCACAATCACATTACACATGCACACAGATGTGTATTACAAAAATGAATTATAACCCGTTGTATTATAATCTTTTTTTCAGGTAACTCCATTGTAACCATCTCCATGATACCAAGAATATGTTCAGTCCATGGTTTAGATTGATTTCATAATAAAAAAAAATTTCCAATGAATATGTTTTTATAAATATGAACTTTGAGTTGCCTATTGAAATTGATGTTGTCTAAATGTAACACAGGGTGCAGGATTCAGTCACACACAAAGCCATGGCATTTGCTTGGGTGGGTGGGACCCCTCTGTAACTGCGTGTGAAGCAGAAACTGTCTCAGGTACGGCGTCATCGTGATACTGGGTATCGGGCAAGAAGATTTTCTCCACTTTCTTTTATCTTCGGGGCCACTGAGGCACTCAGGCCCGGCCTGAACGTTTCCCACACCATGCTCTATTTGTAGCTACTGAATGCAGAACATCCAGGTAAGGATTCTGAGATGGTCCTAAGGGGGAGGTGATTCGATGATGGTGGTGAAATAGCCTGGATCTCCTGAGTCACCACCTGGGGCAGCTCTGGAGAAACCTTGGTTTCCCCCATCAACAGAAGACTGAGACGTGAACAAGATCTAATCTTTTCTGGGGACCTCCCTGGGTGGGCCAGTGGCCAAGTCTCCGAGTTGCCAGTGCAGGGGGCCTGGGTTTGATCCCTGCTCCGGGAACTAGAATCCGACATGCCACAGCTAAACAATCCAGCATCACCACAATGAAGACGGACGATCCTGCACGCTGCCACTAGGACCCAGTGCAGCCAAATAACCAATCTTTTTCTTTTTTTTTTTAAAGATCTGCCTTTTTTATTTTGAAGACACTGAGATTTGGAGGTCATCAGTGTAACAGCAGCTGGAGTTCCTTGTCTTAAATAATACACTAACTTGGCTTCCCTGGTGGCACTGGTAAAGAATCTGCCTGCAATGTGGGAGATCTGGGTTCGATCCCTGGGTCGGGAAGACACCCTGGAGGAGGGCATAGCAACCCAATCCAGGATTCTTGCCTGGAGAATCCCATGGACGGAGGAGCCCGGCGGGCTACAGTCCATGGGTCTCAGAGACTCGGTCACAGCTGAGCGACTAAGCACGCCCGCACGGCCACACTATATCAACCTGACACTTTTGTGTAAACGTTGTGGATTGCAGAAAGATTTTTTTTTCCAATTTACTCATATTACTTTGAATAGAAGCCTGTGCATGAATTTTTCTTTTTAATATTGACTTTATGATGGGAACGACGCTCTACATGAGATCTGCCCTCCTAGATTTTGCAGGGGAGGATACAATCTTGTTAACCACAGGCAGAGAGTTGTACAAGGGATGGCTAGAATTTATTCATTTTGCACAACTGAAACTTTGTATCTGTTGCTGGAAACTCCTCCTTCTCCTCACCCCTCCAACAGTTCAGTTCAGTTCAGTCGCTCAGTCCTGACCGACTCTTTGGGACCCCATGGACTGCAGCACGCCAGACCTCCCTCTCCATCACCAACTCCCGGAGCTTGCTTGGACTAAAGCATGCCAGACCTCCCTCTCTATCACCAACTCCCGGAGCTTG